CAGAGAATAGACAGTGTAAGATGGCTGGCAGCCCACGAGCAGCGCAGATTCTCTCCTCAACGGTATTGGGATTTTGTTCCTTTCCTCAGTTTCTGATTGTCCAACAGCTGTATGCAGCAGCTCCCCATGACCTGGCAAAGGCACATGCTGGTGTGTCAGTATGTCTGCATCTGTTTGTCTGTGCACGTGTACATACATTTGCTTGTGGCCATCTAGTGGACATTCCAGCGTGTGCTGCTTCGGGCTGGGACCCTCTCGTGCTCAATCAACAATGCCCATAACGTGAAAGAACGCTGGTGAAATGCTGTGCCAAAGACACCATGTAAGATTTGGTGAAGAAAAATTCACCATTAGCTATTTTGGTGTTTTCTCTGTAGGCACGAGGAGTGCTTGGGCAGGGAACATTACTGTTTGTTTGTTAGAAAGACAAAGCGTAGCCCCTCTCAGCTTTGAAAATAGAAGCCAAGAAAATTACTGTAACCAACAAAAGTCTTAGATTGTGCTCACTGAAACAGGCACAGCGACACCCTAGATGCCTTGAAGAATCCCTTTGCTGATTAAGATTCCTGGCTGATGTCTACTCTCAAGCAGATTTCTCTCTTTAGCAGACAGTGTTTCAGGAGCTGATTAGGTAAACAAACTAATATGATGAATGTGGATAACAAGGACACATTGAGTCTCATGTTCCTTTGCGAAATGAGAGATTCCTCCTACTACAATTTGCTCTTCTGCACTATCAATAATATAAAGGAGTATCGGTCATCATTTGTGCTTCAGAGGAGGAACCTGGCAAGAATAACCTTGCCAATTTTTGCTCTGAAGTGCTGTGACCCTGCAATGCAGTGCACAGTGCCTATGATTTGACTGCCTGGGGCAGTGGGCACTGAGGATGAAAATTAGATGATGGTAGGATTAGAAATATTCACGTTTGTAACACTTTCCAATACTGCTGGTTTTGATAGGGGTCTGAGAAAGACAGGCATGTGGAACAAGCACCCAGGAGACAATGCTGAAGGTGCTGGCATTTGCTGCAGCTAGTGTGCTCACGTGGCTGGATCCAAAGCTAATGTGTCCTGTGGGAAAGAAAACATGAAATCTGGAATGCTGTCAGAGTAATGGGACAAGAACAGTCATCTGCTGATAGTCATCAGCAGAGGTACAAGTTTCATGAGCATTAACCCTTGGAAACATCCCAGCACATCACTGAAACATTCCCCTTTCCTGCCTGATGAAGGTCAGCCAGGAAGAACCAGACCCTTTTCTAAAGCGAATTGGAAGATGAGCTCCTGTAGGCTGGAGTGACCAAGCCTTTCCTACCAAATGTTTCACAGAATGTTTTCTTCTGACATACCAAATCTCACCTCCTGCTGCCCTGTTTCCTCTTTCCTGCTCTTGGGAAAGGGTATAGAGAAGGTGGTTTTAGCCAGTACAGCTGGATGAATTTCTACAGTGTTCCAGCAGACGAGGACAAGGGGTCTTCATGTGTGCCTGCTAAGAGACAAAGAGGCATCCCCCAGAGCCCGGTCAGCTTTCCCTTCCTTCTGCGCCTTACCCTCGCCCAATGCTGTCTCTGTTCAGTCACTCCCTCTAGCGTTCATCTCCACCCTACGACATCATGAAGTCCTTTTCACATCCTTTACTAATTCAAGAAATTTGTACCCCTTATTTCTGAAATACCTCTCCTTATTCAGATCTATGCTTAAAAATGTCTTTAAAGAAGTTGGTTCTTAGGTATTCTGATCACTGCCAAGAAACCAAGGAATAGCAAGACAGATTTACCTACTTCAATGTTATCCAGTTTCTGAGGATAGGACTTTTGGAACAAGCATCCTATCTTTCAGATGTGAAATTAATAGGATGCAAATTATCTTAAGCAGTAGACTGTTGGTCCAAAAAATGCCTTTGCCCACCAGATTGTGATAGCTTTGCAAAACATCAGGTATGCTTCAGTAAACACAGTCTGAAATTAATAATGGGTGTTAGGTCATGAAGTGTGGAAGTACAAACCCAGTCCTTTCAGCATACCCAGTGCTGTGTCATGGAGAACCAGAGGAAAGCAAGTGAAAGGCAAGCTGCAGGGGTAAATACAGCATTTCACAAAGCTGAGCACATGGGGTGGGAAGGGACAAGTCCAAATATAGGCAGAGTTAACGTTACTTGAAGCAGACCAAATTTTATGAAGTCAGAGGAAGTTGTAGAACAAACGTCTGAAAGCAAAATCTTCAGCTGAAGAAGACAAAATACCAAAATTTAAAGTAAACTGAAAAACAACTATAAAGGAAGGAAAAGTGGGATACCTACAATCAATACCTGTATTTTCAGAAGTTGTGGCTGATGCACCAACACCACTTTAAGTACCTCAGCACTAATAAACCTGTTGCACAATGGAGGCATAAGAAAATTTTGGTAATGTGTCAAGAGATCCTGAGAAAAGAATAAGATCTTCTCCCAAAACAAAGTCTTAACTGAGGAGCTATATGACTGAGAGCAAAATCACAAGATTGGGCCCCAGAGAATAACTCTGCCCATCCACAATGGTGTTGCATTGAGTCTGCAGGTGCCATACTGGAGCTTATCCCACCATGATGTGTGGGATGGGGTGGTGGTAGAGGAGCTGGGCTGGGTCCTGGCCTTGGAATATTTAACATTGAGCACCACTACTTTCACTTGAGATCCTACCTGAGGTTAAGGTCCTGGTGTCAAAACAAGACGGACAGCCCCTCCTGCTAGAAATTCTGCCATTTCAATGTTTCTTTTTCCCACTTCAAAACCATGAGGAAATTCCCATCAAATTTCAAAAATTGATTTGGGAAATCTAATGACCTTACAAGGCTGTTGATGTCATTTTGATTTGCCCATTTGGCATTGTAGCGTAGATTTTGCTTGTTACATGGACGAGATTAAAATACAACACTGAGAAGAAACCCATAGGTAATTTTGATTATGCTTCCACTGACCAGAGGCAGCATTTATGTATAACTGAATCAGCATTTTGTCAGAAAATTTTCCACCAGCGCCAAGTCAAAATTGGTCTGCCTATGACAAAACCTGGGCTGCCTCCTGCATTTTTTTGCTCATGCTGGGGGAAAAGAGATGTTCTGTTGCTGCAGGTTTTGGGGCAGCACTAAAAGAGACCACTGCTGTAGCAGGATTGAGAGCCATGGAGCAAGGGGGAGCCTGAGAAGCATGGAGTAAGATGTTTGGGGAAACGAGGCAGGAAGAAGGGAAAAAAGGCAGGTAGTGAAAGCCTCAGTGAGGAAGCACCTGAAGATAAGAATTGAAGAGATTTTTTAAAAGTTGCCCACTTGGTACCTGGTGGGAAAAAAACAAAACAAAACAAAACAAAACAAAACTGTCTAGTTGAAAATCCCAGTGAACATTTGTGCAAGCCGTTCTGGGTACATGGAGAGGTGTCACTTCAGCTCCAGACCAAGGCAGTTTGGCAGGTGCTGTCCTCTGGATTTTGCAGGAAGCATCCTGGCTGTAACATCCCCTCTGCTGGGCACAGGGGGTCTTCTGCCAGGACAATCTGGGATCACAGCTGCCGAGCCCACGTCTTCCATCCCTGCAGAGGATGCTGTGCAGTCTCTTCTGGGCAGGCAGGTGAAAGAGGTGAGCTCACTGTGCTCTGAAGGGGCCCGGCAAGGCTGCACCCAGACAAAGGTCTCACTGTCCCCATGAGCCGGGGGTCTCAGAGCCCTCTGTGCTCCCCCCTGCAGCCCCTGCTCCCCCACAGCTGAGGCAACAGAGGGTTAAGCTGTCAGCTCTGTAATGTTAAACAGGTGTCAAAGGCACCTCCATATATCTGCAGATTGAAATCAAATTCTTTGCAGTATAAAAAGATAAATTACCCAGGCGATTCCCGCCTCATCCCACTCATCAGGCCAGCGCCAGACGGCAAGCAATTTTTTTTTTTAATGTGCTAACGACCTAATCAAGCAATCAAGTTGGAGAAGATTGCGGAGTGACCCCGAGCATCCATCTGCCAGCGAGACCCCGCCATTCATTTCCATTCTGCCGTGTACTTTCCGGGAAAGGGAGGGAAAAAATAGGAGGAAAAAAAAAAATCCTAAACAAATTAACACCCAATTTTCTGTGAGTCTAATTAGTTAAATGAGGAGGTGTTTGGGGTGTCCACAGGGAGGGAGGGGCTGCCTTTTGGAGAGGCGACTGGTAACTCCATGGCATTAATTAGCGCAGGTCAATGGCGTGGTTCCCCAGGGACCTGCTGCTTTAATTTCCCGTGATATTTCAGTGCCTGAGGCCCATCGATTCAAACTGAAATTAACTTATTTTTCAATCAGGCCTGGGCTGCCCCTGGGGCTGACTCTTCCTTTGCCTCCTTCTGAATAGACCTCGAGCAATTTTTCATCTAAAGCTGATGCCTCCGCTCTGCGGGAAGGGAGGGGTTGTGGGGAGGGAGGAGGGCAGGCAAGACAAGAGGGATGGAAATCGGAGAGCGAGCGCTAATAGATTTCTGTGAGCCACCCCTGCCTCCGCCCGCGTCTGTGCTCGCTGCCCCCCAGGTCACAGCTCGGAGATTATTCTGCCAATTTTCTGAGAAGATGTGGGTCTTTTCAAACAGGGAATTCAAGGCAAGCGGCACAGATCAGCTCCCTCTTCTCCTGCCTATCCAGAGCATCTCCCCCAGCTCTGCTGTCCCTGTGGCACTGCAGCACACAGCCCCTTGCTGCAGCTCAGGCGCCCAGTAAATAATGAAAGCAAATCCAAGACACGAGAGCCAAACTCTGCTGGAAAAAAGACAGCGCAATGGCAAATTAATTACATCCTGCAGGGAGGGATGGGACCTGCTCTCATGCTTGGCCCTTGTTGTTCCTGCAAGGAGGAGGGAGAGAAATACCCAGTGACTGTTGTATGAGGCTTTTGGGAAGGTGTACATGTGCCTATCTTCATCCTCTTTCACAAGCACACGTGTGCAGGGATGGGATATCACATCTGCTGCGCCCGATGCTCACATCCCTCCCTGTCCTCCACTCCAGGTCTGGTTCCAGAACCGCCGGGCTAAGTGGCGGAAGCGAGAGAAGTGCTGGGGCCGGAGCAGCGTGATGGCCGAGTACGGACTCTATGGAGCCATGGTGCGTCACTCCATCCCACTGCCTGAGTCTATCCTCAAGTCAGCCAAGGACGGCATCATGGAATCGTGTGCCCCGTGGCTCCTGGGTAAGAGAGCAGCCAGCCTCACAGGGGTGGCAAGGAGGTCAGGATGAAGAGGGGTGTGAGGAGAAAACTTGATGGGATTCCAGCTTGCTCAGGATCCCTGCAAAGTTATACAGAGTGCCAAGACCTCTCTTGTACTCATCCCACTTCCCTTCCTCTGGGCACCCACAAAGCTGGACTGCTGCCCTGTTTTGCTTTGTCTGCTGTGGAGGAGGGATAGTGGATGTAGCGGTTACCCTAATGTGCTCCTGCTCTTTGCTTCCTACTTTCTGAACTTTCAGGCTGGTTTTGTCCCAGAACTGACTGTGGGCATCTTAACAGTGGGCTGTCCTTCTGTCTGCATGAATCTGAGGAGGCAGGGGTGGGTTGTATGAGGAACTGATAGAGAAAGGCAGGGAAACCTCCCCTGATCCAAGTAGCAAATGACCCCAGGGACCCAGGCCCCTGCTGTATCTAAGACCCTCATCCCTACTGAGCCAGGGCTGCACTTGCGCGGGGCCAGAGTGCCTGGCGTGCCATGACTGCTGTTTGAAGCAAGGGTTTCTGCTTTTCCTTAATTCTGGCCTCTCTTTATCTTTGCTGTTTTCAGTTCAAGATGGCTTTCCCATGCCCAGGCGCTTTTCTAAACCCGAATACCAACAATTCTTTTTAGGGATGCACAAAAAGTCTCTGGAGGCAGCGGCTGAGGCGGGGAGGAAGACGGAGGTGGAGCGCCAGGCCCTGCCCAAGCTTGACAAGGGTGACAAGGAAGAGAGGGGCTCGGATCCCAAAACCGCCATTTCCCAGGAGGAACTGAGAGAAAACAGCATTGCCGCCCTCAGGGCCAAAGCTCAGGAGCACAGCACCAAAGTCCTGGGGACCATTGCGGGGGACACCCCGAGGAAGCCGGAGAAAGGGGAGGAGGTGGCAGAGGATGAGAGGCAGACCGAGAAGTCCAGTGCATCACAGAAGGAGGAGAAGCTGATCTAGGGAAACAGAGGCTGTGGAAGCCAGCCCTGACAGATACTGTGCCCTCTGGGGGTCACAGCCCCCTCTGATGGCCAGGCCTCCTGGCTGCACCCACCCAGAGTGTGGGGCCCTGGTTTCTTCATGTGGGGCTACCCAGGGGTGCCCCCAGCCTGCTCCCCTGAAGCGCAGCCCTGTCCTTCACTCCTCCACTCCTAGGGGCTTTCCTTACCCCAGCCCATCCCCATCTCCATCTCCACCCCAGGGCAGGCTGCGGCTCCAGGTTCCTCAGGTTGTGGGTCTGGGTCTAGCTTAAGGCTCCATCCAGCCCCCTCCAGGCCAGTGAAGCCCAGTTCCCCTTCACCTCACACTGCATTCCACTGTGTTCCACACCCCAGAGGACCCCACTGCCCCTGGTATGATAAGTCCATGGCCCTGTGTGTGTGAAATGCTGAGCCTCTGCTATACAGCTCTCCCAGCTCAGTGCTGACAGCTGCTGGGATGGGGCTGCAGATTTGGAGGGGCTGATTTCTGCCTCCATTATGTGAGGAAACGCAGGTTTAGCTTGCAGACACCATGTCTCGTTCCCTGCTCACACCTCCAATGACCCCAGCCTACACTGTCATCTTCCCCACACGCACTTGGAGGCCACTGCCACACACAGTTAAACCCTCTCAGACAAGACATTTTCCCAAGGTATTTATTGAAGTCAATTTGCCCCGCTCTCCTTCTGAGCCCTGAAGGGAATGACAGCCATGCAGACGCAGCCCTGGCACACGCTGTAATGTGTACATACGTCTCCTCACCGACCCCACGTGTGCACGCAGACCCATGCAGCCAAACCTGCTGTTCTTCACAGCATCTTGTGCTGACATCTCCCTTCTGTCCCAATCAGGCACCCTCTTCCCAGAGCTGCTGTTTTAATTCTGTCAGAATTAACTTCTTCCATCCAGTCCCATTTGTCTTTGTCACCCGTTTGTTTGACGTGTTAGATTATAGCCCATGGTGTGTAAATAATGTACATACAGTGAGAAAAGAATTCAGTATTGAGGTGTTTGAGATATGGAGCTGTAATAACTTCTAGTCATTCAGAACCTGTGATTTATGTGCCATTTTCTGTAAAGATACAAACAAGAATAAAATTAAACTGGAATATGGTGTGTGAGTCTGGTCACTTTTTCAAGGAAAATGAATTCAGCCAAAGCTGAGAAGGGTGAGGTTTCAGACCTTACCCAGAAATACTTCAGTGAGCTCTAAGCAGCACAAAGAGGTGCTGGACCCAAAGGAAAGGAGGGCAGAAGAAAGCTGTAATGAGGCAGGAGCAGCTTCGCTCCACTACACAGGTGCTGGGGATCTCAGAGTGAGGAGATAGGCTGCAGTATTTCACCCAAGCCTGCCTCCTGCTCCACCAAGACCTCAATTAGTGCTGCTACAAGCTGTTCTAAGGCATTTAGAAGAGGTAAAGAGCCCAGACCAGCTTTGTGGAGAAACGGTATGTGCCCAGCAGGAGATGGATGGGGTATCTCATCCAGGTGACAGCTGCAGGAGATAAACCTGGGAAGCAGCTGAGGCAGCCTGGCCCAGCACCTGTTTCCATGGGCAGCCCGAGCGCGCGCTGCAGCTGGCTGCTATCCAGGGAAGGCCAGCAGGACTCAGATTAGCATGAAGGTTATTTTCAGTCAAATAGTTATAAAACCCACCCCTTCCTCCCTGTTTATAGGGATTGGGTTTCTTTCCCTGTGCTGTTCCAACAGTGAGGAGGTGCATGGGACAAGGGGTGCCCTGGGCTTCCAGAACAGGGGCTCTGCCTGCGTTCCAGCTCCCATAGGGGTGGAACTTGTCAGGACTCTGAGTACATATTTCCTTAGGAAGAGTTGAAACTCATCTGCTGCACTGTGACTATGGCCTGGCTGCTGACTAGGGCTTGCTGCCCCAGAGCTCTTCCTTGGGCTTCCAGATGTCTCTATGGGTTGGTGAGTGCTCGGTCCTGGAGCCAGGGCCCTCTTACTGCCTACATGCCAGAAGCTGCCTCCTTCCCGGAAGCTCAGGATCACCAGGGCTTGTACAAGACATCGGTGGAGCAGGGGGATGCCTTCTGGGGAGCGCTGGCAAGGAGTCGGCTCTCCTGGATCACCCCCTTCCACTCTGTCCAGGACTGTGATCTGCAGCAGGGACGGGCTGCCTGGTTCCTGGGGGGGCAGCTCAACGTGGCAGGTGAGGGGACCTGATGCCTCACAGATGGGCTGAGGGTGTACTGGGGAGGGAGGGTGCTTCTTACCCTACCCAGGAGATAGGGGGGTGGGGGGAAAGCCTGCTGCATGTTGTCTTATGGGAGGGAGCTCTCTGCCTGCTGTGTACTGGGGGAGTCCTTTTGATCTTTAGCCCATGAGAGCCCAGTGACGGCACGAAGCTGTGCCAGGGGAGGTGTGGGATGGATAGCAGGAAGAATTTTATAGACATTGGACTGGGCTGCCCAGGGAAGTCAGGGGACTACTGCAGATATTTAAGAGATGTGTGGATGTGGCACTTAAGGATGCGATTTAGTGGTGAACTTGGTAATGTCAGGCTGATGGCTGGAACTAATGATCTTAAGGGTCTTTTCCAACGTAAGTGATTCTGTGATTGTAAATGTCTGTAGATACCATCCTGTGAAGTGCTGTGGCCCCAGAAGCAAAACGTGCTAGAGTGATGGAATTCCCCCAAAAGTCCCATTGGCCCTCTTAGTCATGGGATACTTCTCCTTACTGCAAAAGGGTGCTGCCAGAGGAAAAGAAGAGACTGGTGGCACCGTGTTCCTGCTTGCACTGCTGTTGGTCCCAGAGCTCAAAAAAGAGTACAACAAAACTTCCCAAAACTAGGTCTTATGAGGCTTATTTGGGCAGGGGAGCTGGAGAGTTTCCTGTTCCCACTCCTGGGCTGGTTGGTTTGCTTCTTTTCCTCCCGCAAAGCTACAAGTGTTCAGGAGAAAAAGGTATTTTTAAATGCAGACAGGCTGCTGGGTCATCCCATGGCTTCAGGAGCAGGTAATCTAAGAAAGGAAAACAATGTAACAAGGTTTCTAATGAGTATGCTATAGCTGGAGGTGCAAGAAACTTCCTAAAAGAACTGCAGCCAAAGGCTGAATGCCTCAGTGCCCCTGGGAGGCCAGTGCTGTACATGAATGGCTCTGCTTTGTCTTGCACTCTGCAATCTTCATACACAGATTTTCTCCACATCCTACATTTGTTATTTAGGAGCATGGCTGCTATAAGGGTAGCCACATTTCACTGTAGAGGCAGTAGCAAGGGCAGAATGGTGGACAAGTTAATGTTTACCAGGCCTTCTGGGGCCCATAGCTGGCACTATGGATGTGACCTTCAAGATTTAAGGCAACTCCTGCACCAAGCTGTGTTAGGTTGTGGTTAAGAATGCTGATAGTGGAGTTCAATGTGCACTGGGAAACTGAGGAGTGCAACAGGCTAGGGTGCCAGCTAGTACCTGCAGAGGCTGTGCTACTGGGAACAGGAAGTTCTGGCAATGATACTGAGTCATCTTTTCCAGTGAACTGCTTGGACCGACATGTCCATGTAGCCCCAGACAAAGTGGCCTTAATCTGGGAGAAGGATGAACCAGGAGAGGAGTTGCGGGTCACATACAGGTCAGTGCATACCTCTGAGCACATGTGAGACATGCACACATGGCAAAGGTCTGCTTCACTGATGTGTGTCCTGCAAGAGGACACAGCATCTCTTCCCATAAGTGGATCACCAGCGTGGCGGCTGCTGGCCTGCCTGTGCTACTCTGAGGCATCAGCCTGTCTCCTGGTCATCCCTGTGGGGTCCCTGCCAAGGTTTCTGGTGACTGAGAGATAAATGCTCTACAAGGAAGGCTTGGCTGGCAGGGTTTGCCAACCTCCTTTCATGGAGAGACCTTCTATGAAATGAGTCACTGACAGCCAAGTTCTTGTTTCAGGCAGTGACATTGTTTTGCTCACAGTTTCCTACAGCTGTTCTCACTGGTAGGCAGAGCTCTGGAGGACTTGACCTTCCCACCTATAACTGAGCAAAGGACCCGTTTTTATTTGCTGGGTGAAGATATCTGACTCCTCTTGCAAGCCCCTGGCCTTGCAGGCCAGGGTGTGTCACCCCCATTGTTGTAAGGGCTGGTGAGAAATACCTAGGTTGTCGTTGGAGAAGTCAGTAGAGGCATGATAGACAGGCTGAGCCATAGGGGTTGCTAGTGGCCATTACTGGATCCAGAGCTGGCTTCTACTGCTGTTAGTGTCAGTGCCAGGCTCTGCACACAGACCCTTCTGGTTAATTTCTTTGCCATAAATAACAGCCTGTCTCTGGTGATGGTCTCCTACTTCCTTCCCACTGCTATTTTACAGCTGTAAAAGGACTTAGAAGAACTTCCTGCACAGGGCGCTGAAGTGCAGACCTGTGGCTTTAGAGCCTTGGGAGGCTGGGGCACCCCCAGCTCATACGCCTCTGTGCATACGAGGCGGATTTGCAAGAAAGTCCCTAACTATGCATTGCTTCTTTGGGCAGGGAGCTGCTGGAGCTGACATGCCGCCTGAGCAACACCCTGAAACGGCAGGGGGTGAAACGAGGTGACAGGGTGACAATCTACATGCCTCCGTGCCCATTGGCAGTGGCCAGCATGCTGGCCTGTGCCCGAATAGGGGCTGTGCATGCTGTGGTGTTTGCTGGGTTCAGTGCAGAGTCCCTGGCAGACAGGATTCGGGATGGTAAGAGCCAATGGGGAACAGGGACACCATCCAGCATTGCCGTCTGGGGACACCACTGAGCTTGTTTGTTTGGCAGCTGGGGGCTTAGGGGAATGAGCCTTGCCAAGGTGCAGACTTGATATGGATCTGTGCTGATGGGGAGGGGGGGGGGGAGGTGTCCTGTTGTGTTGCATGGCCACAGAGCAGGCAGCAGTACTCCACGAAAATGGCAGGGGGCTCACTGAGTGTCTTTCATCCCATGGGAAGGGTGCTTGGCAGAGTTAGACTGGTGTGTGCTGTGTGGAGGGGGAACAGG